GATTCCTCTTTGCAACTGCACCTTCCTTTGTGCTTTGTGAGTTCACAAACTTTATGTTGTCCTCACAGCAGAAATGGGTCTTTAGGAACAATGTGTGATAAAGAAATCAGTCTTTCATGCTGCTCAACAACCAACAATTTTCCCTTGCCATAAGATGAGGACAGATGTGGGAGGTAGATGAACTTCCTGGAGCAGCAGAGGTAGGCACAAAGCATCCACAGCCTGAATCAAGACAGGCCAGGCAATCTCATCTTTGTGAGATGAGATTGTTTCTTCTGCCTGGCCCTGCTTTAAATCCTCGTCTGCAATTAGTGATGACATGTTTCTAATCCTCTTCATACAAGCCATCAGAGGATTGTAAATTTGTATGGGAAATGTCAGGGGAAGAAAAATACAGCACAGAAATCCTTCCTTTTCACAAAAGCATTCAATACCAAAGAAGGAGGAACTAAAAATTAAAAATAGACAGACTGCCTGGGAATTTTGTTTAGAACTACTTAGCTCCAGAAAAACAACCGGGCTTTTGCCCAGTTTATTGCTGTTCCTTTGCGGRATTGATATCTTGTTTGAGGGTGCAGTTTATGCCTGCAAAATTTCAAACTGAAGTAGTTGCACTTGTGAGTAGGTATTATCCTCTTTAGGTAATAAAAGAAATAATGATAACAGTCAGATTTGTTTCTAGAATTGAATAGTAGCTTAAAAATTGTCAACAAGAATTACTCACAAAACCAACCATCCTACATATTTAACTCTTCATTTTGCTGCCACTTTCTAGATCACAAAGGTTTGYTTTAATTTCATGGCAATGAGCACTGGAAAGGGATAATTTATTTACACATAGATGATGTCATATAATGCCTCATCCTCAGCAATATTTATCATGCTCGGATAAATGTTGTTATTAATATTGTTATTATCATCATCATCACCATAATTCCTATACAGAGGAAATACATTTTGAACACATTTCTCYTCTTTTCACTTGTGGAAGGGAGCTTTTGACATTTGAGCATCGACTCTTTCTTCTTATTTTATGCATTTGCCCTCCGGCCATTGTCAACCCCTGCAGTCAGAATAATGAATTCCTCTTTATTGCACTGTCAGTGTGCTGTCATTATTGCAGACTTCTTCTCCTCTGGAAGGCTGTTTGGTGAGTTATTTCTGAAAAGATATACCACACATGTGTTTGGGATTTATAGGACTGTACTGATCCATCATTTTCTGGAACATCCGATGCAGCCACAGTAAATTTAAAGAAACAGAGAATTCTCATCCAGCTATGGATGTCAAGCCATTCCAGGGAATATTATCTGCTCCTAACTGCTTGCTACTTTTGTACAGGAAACACAAACTCAGCTCATGATCACAGACAGATTTCTGTTTGCCTTTGCAGTAAAACTGTAATTCTCTTTATGCCTTCTTCACTTCCTGCTGGCCTTTGAGAAGACAAAAATTTGTGTGTGATCCTGAACTTAGGTCTTCTGCRTGATAGGAACTGATGCTGCCAGCTGAGCTTTTAAAACAGCTGTTAGATCCATGGAAAGCTGKTTTTCTCCCATTATTCAAATGTAAGATACCATTTTAAAAAGTCTTATTTAGCATCCTCCACACAGTAAGAAAGTCACTTTCAGTCTTCTCATGGAATTGTTGCAGGTACTATTTTTAACCACYAAGAAAAAGCTTGCCTTCGACACATCTCACAAGATTTTCCCGTTGTTTTCACAAGACCAAAGCCCTCATAATATCAATGTCTTTGCTAGGAAAGGAGGAATTGATAAATCAAGTGATAATTGACTTTTGGTTACTTGACAGACTTTAACCTGACATAATAAATATTCAGACTTGAAGCAGGAGTACCCTGAGGCTTGGGAAGCAATGGAAAGAATAAAACTGCTTTGGAGATGGATGCAGGTTCTGCTGGACTGCCTTGCTAGAGGAAGCTGCTGCCACACAGATTGTTGGGATTTTGAGCAGATGTGAAATGATTTTATCATTCATATTGTACCATTTTGTTCAGAAATGTTAAGTCCTCATATGTTCGAAACAACTCTACTAATTTGTTAGAAGCTTAGATTCTGTTTATTAAACAAAACAGACCTCATAGGACCTTTAGCAATTTGCCAATTTTCTTGCTTATGTGGGTATGTTCTACCATAGCAAAAATTACTCTGATTGCAAATAACCTATCAATAGTTACAAAAATCCTTATTTYTGCAGTTTTGTAATGGCTTCCTCTCAGTCCTCGGTTTACAAGAATCACTAATTTAAACCCAGCCTCAGTTATTCATTGAACATTACCTGGGATTTTTRGATGATCTTAGAAAGTTAAAAGAAAGCATAATTCCACATGAACATTATTTGTTAGAGATGTGGGATTCATCTTGGAGATCTGTTCWGTTCCTGAGCTGATCCCCTAAGTCCAGCGTACTTACATTTTAAGTAAGCAGAAAATGATAACGTAATGATAATGAAACGATAACAATAAATGATGAGGTAAAACAGCCCCATCCATACAGCTGTGTCATCAACAAGGACTCCCACACCCATCCTTCCTTCCCATCCAGACAAGAGACTGCACGCAGCTTGCAAATCTGCCTGCACAGGAGTGCCCAGCAGCATTATGAACTAGAGAACAAGGAGCAAATAAGTGATCTAAGCACCCAGAGGGCCTCCAAATCCCCTTCAGGGGTCACTCACCCCCTTCCAGACAAGAATKAAGTCATTGGATGGCAGTGCCAACAATTAAATTGTTGACTTTACAAGCACATGCATCCCAGAAATATTCCTTCTTGCATTAGAGGACCAGGAGAGAAAAAGGGAATGCAGCTAGGGATGGCCTGAATGYAAAGAGCTGGGTGTTTGCAAACACATTGGAAATGAAGATGAAAATGTGAAGATGCAGAAGATGGAAGTCAAGGAGGATGGGAAAAAGACAGACTGCAGGAGTAAGGCTGCACGAAAAGGCCCTCGAGTTTATGGAGAAACAGAGACTTTTTATTTGTTTACAAAAGTCAAACAAAATCTCTGAGGTGTGTAGGTGCTGCCTAGATATTCTGAMACCTCTAATTTCTTACCTGGGAGTGAAGGTGCAAGATCTCAAACAAGAACTAAACCTAGCTTCCTCTCCATCCACCCCTTAGGAGGAAATCTTTTTGAGTGTTTTAAAATGGCCCTAAAATTATCCCAGCTCTTGTGCAGTCCCATTCAGAACAGAGTTTTGCTGCATCTGATGGAGCCTGTTGAGAGAAAAGGAGGGAGACAATGGTCACACCAACAACTTCCAAACAAAACCASACAAAAGGGCCACTCTGCCTCTACCTTGATCAGTTCCTGATGGTCATCTGGTTGATGTTTAACAGAAACAGCAAAGTAGATGRCTATGTCCTGAATGCTGCATATTCCCACAGCAGGTCATGCTGGCCCCTCTGCCTTCTGTCCTTTCTGGCCTTGCCTASAGAGAGGGAGAAATCTGAATTACAAAGCAGATCAGGAAAAAGCAGAGCACAAGCACTCATTTTACTTTTTAAACTCTRTTATTACTGTCAATAAGTTACACTTTGAAGGTTAATATGTGGTACTAAACAGAAGACTTAATTTTTGAAAAATGTCTTATGTCTACCAGTGGCATGGGTACAAAAGTACAAGAGCTTTTACTTTTCCAAGTTTTTTCAACACATGCAGCACTGATKTTGTAACTTGTGATTTGCTCTCACCCTTCCTTTAGCAATAATGATACCAGGACTGCCCAAAATTACAAGAAACCTCAAGAAACTACATCACTTACCATCCTATCCTAGCCCATAGATTCATAGAATCATTAAGGTTGGAAAAGAACTCCAAGATCATTGAGTCTAACCTTTGACCAAGCACTGTCCTGTCAACCAAACCACAGCACTGCCATATCCAGTCATTKCTCAAACACCTCCAGTGCCAAGTAGATGGTACAACAAGGAGGGTAACCACCCTCAAAAYCTGCCCCAGAGCACTCTGAGCCATAAGAACTCTTCTGATACCAAGTAACAGCCAAATGTTAGTATAATTCTATTCTGGATATATTACCATGTTATTTAATAATGTGTGAAAAATTATTAGGTTTTATCCTTTTTCTTTCCCCAGAAATCAATGATAGTTCCTTATTTCTTCTGTCACTTTKTCTTCTTTTTATTCATTTTTCTCACTGACTGCTGTTCTGCTTTGAAACAAGAACTGCTTTTGTTATCTGATATTCTACATTTTAAGCACATTAGCCATTTTAAAGATTTTATATTTAAAATTAAATCAGCCTACTCTTGGTAGAATGATATATTTCTGCACTTCAGAGTGCAGACTTTTCACAGCACATATTCTTTTGCATTATGTTTCCTCTTTAGGYAGTTGCTTGCCATGAGACACTGCTAACTGGAGAAAAAAATATTAATGGTGTGARAGTGCAAGAAGCAATGCCTTGCAGTTCAGACATCACATACTCTGGCATGTTTATCTSTTCAGCTTAATAACAGCAGGTTAATACTGCAAAATGCCAAGTGCCCTGGGCTCCCACTGCAGTCGGTGGGAGTTGACAATTAGCACCTGACAGATGCACTTGGGTGCTAAAAGGATGAGGCACACTAAAACTGCTGGTGTGGCTAAACAGCGCACGATTCCTTCCCCCTTCCTCTAAYGGGTCATTTATCTTCAGGAAAGTACAAGTCAGGTCTTTCGATTTCTTGAGTTGCTCAAGTGGAGTCGATTTCTGGAGTGTCCAATCCTRCAAGGCCCTTGCTGGTCATCAGCTCATTACAAAGTATTTCTGTCATCACCAGCTCCGCTCTTGTGGGAGCTCTGGGAGGGGTTGTTCTTGACACTGGCCTCTCAGCTTTTAAAGAATCACATCCAGTTTTTTGAAGAGATCCTGAAAATTACAGTTCGGCCTTCTGAAAAATGTTTTCCTTCCTCTGAAGTAGACATCGTGCACTGTCATTTACAGACCCTATATTATTATTTTTTTTGCTTTTTCACAGGTTTTTGGCAGTGTCCAGTGTTGCTAAGGGTGATTTAATTCCTACTTCCAGTACAATTCCCAGAGGCAGCTCTTCCGAGGTGATTCCAAACACAGGAGATGGTGAGTTGCTTTTTATCCTCACTTGCACAGACTCTACACATGTTCAGTGTACCTGCTCTAAAGATCAAAATAATTTGGTTGGGTCCTGTATAGGGAAGAACCCTGCAAAGCAGGTTAAATAGAAAATTTTGCTGACCTCTGCCACGCTGACCTTTCCTTAAAGCAGCATAGGAGGAGAGAAAATCTGCACTGCAAAAATCCTSAAGAAAGAGCAAGGAAACACAGCCAGGTAAGGGCTGACCTGTAGGGTCACTGCAGGCTTAATGGGGCAATCTGAGCACACACAGCACAGAGGGAAGATGTCAAAGACGACAATCAGTTTGAGAAAAGGAAAGCAATAGCTGACAGAAGGATGACTGAATAAATGAAGAATTTCCAGCCCAGTCTGAGAAATCCAGGCACTGCTGAAGAAGCTCAGACTGCAGCCCTTGATCTGAGTGACTTTCTCCACAGCCTTGGACATTTAAACACTCGACATCTACTTTAATTGAGGGGAAAAGAACAATGGTGCCAATATAATGCTTCATTGCACAGATATATTTTAAGGACTTAACCTTTGCAAGACATTTTGAAGATGGAAAGCCCAGCAGTGCACAGATATTTTGTGAGAAGACTTTTTTCAATTTTTGCATTAGCCTGTGGCCATTTCATGCCACCGTGTGCTTTATTTTATTTCTGGTTTTGCTTCRTGCAGTTTTACAAAGTGACTTTTTCCATACCCTAATTGTACATTTTTAACAACAAAGACAAAATCCCAAAATCCTTATTTCCCATGGTCATTCAAATACAACAGCTTAATGTCCCTGCCTGCCCAACAGCTTAATAACATTTCAGAAAGCACAAYTGGTTTAAATACAAAAATATTTAAAAAACACAGGGGTAAAATTTCCTGTAACTGTGTCGGGAGAAAAAAAATTGCCATTTAATATCAAGACATCTGGCTAATAAAGTAACAAGAAACAAAGTAAACCTTTAGCAGTCATTAAATTGCCTGAGCAAATGCACATGAAATATGATTGCTCATAAGTGTATCTGAAAACTGCACATGTTGAGACAGAGCAGTCATGTGCCACCGTTTGACATTCAAAGAGTCTTTCTAAGGTATTTAATCCCATTACTTTTTTTGCTAGAGGAAGAAAAAGACCCTCAAGGCTGATGTTTTCTCATGTTCAGCTTTCCTTACCTTCATCTATATCTGCACAAGTTCTGAGCCCTACCACCTCAGGATTGTGTCCACACTCTGAAAGATAMAGCAAATTGCACTTTAAAAGTCTTACAGCAAGAGGCAAAGACAAGGTTGATGCTCCTGCAATAACAGAAAAGAGTCACTGGGTAGATGTAAAATGGACTAAAGTCACCCAGTTGGCTCATGGTAATGTTAATAAAACATTCAGATTTTAGTGAAAAATAGGTCCGAACAGGGGCCAGTTTCAGCCATTACAAACCTTTGCTGCTGCCATGAAGAATGTATACGGAAAGACAAAGTTCCCAAACTTTTATGATTTCAAACTTGTAAGCTGGATTTTAGCTGGGCCAGGAATTCCACCAAGTGCCATCTGTACACATGACAAGAAAAGGAAGACTTTTATATTGTTCAGCACATTCAGGTGTGGGGAGTGCCTGGTTTGAACACTTGTCTTTCCTTTGCTCTTATTATTTTTAAAACCTATTTTCTCTCTTCTATGCACTATTTTGTATGCAATAAGAGAGAAATTTTGGCTGTTCATTAATTCTACTGTAATACCTGTGGTGACCTTACAGAGAGAAATTACCTGGTAGGAAAAAATGGAAGTGAACAGGGCTTTAGTTTCTGGATCTGATGGAAATGGTTTTCCTGGCTGCAAGCTGGTTTCCAAAAGACAACAGACTGGCAGCTTGAAGAAAACAGGTCTTGACAGCACGTGTAAGTGAGCCAAATGTTTTCTAGCACCTTGTGTCACACAAAGCACTCTCATACCATCTGTGCTCCAGCAGCCAAGGCTTGTTCTGTCCCAGGCAGGACCTTTTGTCTTTGCATCATCTCAGGAGCCCAAGGAACCAGGTTTATAAAACACCTGTCTGAGCTTGGATGTGTGCAGGGTGTCAGCTCCTCCTGCAAACCCTCTGCATGTCCCTGACTGACAGGAGCAGCACACAGCTCAGCAGGCAGGCAGAGAGTCAGATGGGTACTGATTTACTTGTATAATACTTGACTGGGTGAAGAAAAGAAATAAAGATGGGAGGGAGAGGAAGAGGGAATGTGATTCAAAGGCGAGCACGTGCCTCATTAGCGCTCACTACACGAGTCCCTTACACTGAGGGGAAGGCCAAAATATTTTAATGAGGGAAACACCACCTTTTCAAATATTTATTTTAAAAAAGTACATTATAAGAACAACACATTTCTGAGATAAATATAGGTAGCACAATCTGCAACTTAAATAGAGACCAGGAGGGCAATTAGAAAGCAAAATATCTTGATTATATTAAATTGCCTTCTTTGAGCAGCTTTGGTATTTGTCATTATTAAGTTGTATGTTTCTCAGTACTGGAAGAAGAGAAATTATTAAAACTAACACTTACATAAGTAACATAAAGGATTATCCCTGATATCATATCAGGCACAAGTTTTGTGCAAGTAAAATCCAATATGCCTGTGGCAATTTAAAAGTAACTGAGTTGCCAACATTTTGTGTGATTTATCAGAATTTAACAAAATAAAAAGCAAGATCTCTGCAAAGAGAAAATAGCCCCTCCCATGCAGTAAGTAAGTCCTAAATGCAGCCTCTCCTTTCAGTATTGTCATCTCTAAGGCTCAATATTTTTCTCATTATCATCCCTGGTTCATGGATTTTTTTTCTTACCTTAATGAATTTCTGTTCTTAGGCACACAGCTATTTTCTTGGCTATCTTGCTTCATTACACTGATGGAAGCAGTCTTTTAATTTAAAACATTATTATTGAAAGTAATGCATGAAAGGCTTATCTGAAAGATATATTGGGTTGTCAGTAGATGCAAATCAAAATGCAACTGTCTAGGCAATTGTCTATGTCAATTGTATATTTTAATGGAAGGCTTTGAGTAAAGCCTAGGCAGGAAGGAAAAAAGTACTTATCAGAATCTATCATTTAAATTAGCAGCACATTGGTAGACTGTTCTTACATTTTATATTCCTTAATAAGGCTGAGACTGAAGCTGGGTCAGTGGACAGCAGTTGGCTTGTGGAGTCTCTGCCCTTGGAATACAAAGACAGGAGTATTCCAGAAGCACAAGACAATCTTGCATTTTTTTTCTCCCATGCTTTAAGTGTTTGCATCTTCCAGTATCTGATAGGCTCCTTCACCTTTTGAAATCCACATGAATATTTACCATGTATTTGCTTTTGAATGGACTCCAAACTTCTTTTCATTGTGATCGTGGGAGATACTCCTGCCCAAAAAACTCACATGATGCAGGTCCTTCAGCTGAGAGTATGGCAGGGAGTTTAACCCCTTCAGTGCTCCATGGAACTCAGCCTTAGCTCTTTGGTGCATCCTTCCCTGCTCAGTCTCCTGGCAGCCACCTCGACCCAAGACCTTTGCAATGTAGCAGAGGTTGCAGGGATCTCTGTAATGTTGGGATCTGGGATCAAGCATCCTGAACGAGTACATGGTCAGAGAATGATACAGGCACACAGACTCTTCTAAAAGATGAACAAAAACTCTCTGTAACTTAGTCTTTCCTAAAGAGGAATACAGTGCAGATTTTAGGAGCCAGCCTATCAAGCTCACGTGTAACTGCTCATGCAAGGAGAGCAAGCATGCTCTGAAAGAAACCTCAAGGTTTGAAGGAATAATTTTGCTTCCCTGCAGAAGCACCTCCAGCAGGACAGAGACATGAGCTTGTCATCTCACTGTGTAAGTGATTCATATCAAATACACAGCTTTTTTCTTTTTTTACTGCTGTCCATCTTTTTTATTTTATAGCAGTCTGTCAGCTGAAAACTGCCAACTGAAAACTTTGGATATACATACACAAAGTCACCACATTAATATTAACATTTCCCTGTTGCAGACAGCTCAACTTAGACAATTTCTGGACTTTGCAGGCAACAGCAACGGTGGCAGGGATAAGTTTTGTCCCAGCATTGAACTAGAGCTCTTCTCATCACAACTTTTGGACCACCTATTTTTATTTCTAATCTCTGTACCTGCACTCTTAACACATGCTCTGACCTAGACTTTTAACAGGAGCTTAACAAGAAGTCATCATGGTGGACAAAAGTTAGGATTTAAATATGGAAAACTGAAAAGAAGACAGGCCTTGCTTGCAGAAGGGTTTCATTTTGGCATAGTATTTGTTCCCATTAATATAGAATAATAGCTTTAGCAGACCTTTTTTGTTCAAATATTTAGGAATTTCCCTGACATTGACTCAAATTTTAGCTGCCTTAGCTGCATTTAGGACTGATAATTTAAAGATTGTTTTACTTTCATACAATGGAGTTAATTCAAAGAGTTTTATCATGATTCTTACCTGCTAAATTTGACTTTGAAGTTATTTTAATTATACTGGAACCTTCTAACTTGTTTAAAAAGTCCCTGAGATGCCAAACTTCAATCAGAAATTCAGGACAATTGGTACAGACACTGAGGCAGAAGCAGAGGACCTATCAGAAGATTGTACTTAATGAGATTTCCACATGACATCTGAAAAGCTGACCTTTGCCAAGTGCTTCTTTTATCATGTATTGCCAGAAATATGTTACTTCTTTAGGTTATGTATCTGCAGTAGAGTCTATCAGCTAAAATCATGCAAGTTGTAATTCTGCTGAAGCCACTGCACTCTGGAGAGGACAATTTTAGCTACAAATGAATAGGGTCATTTACACTGGAGATAAGGGAAAGCAAGTTACTGCTACTTCAGTAAAATACATACACTTATGATAATAGGGGAGAAAAATGTTCAAACTTTTAAAATGTGTTTCTGAAAAAGACAGTAACTATTTGATAAGTTTGTGTCCTGTTTTGAACATAGTGTT